AAAAAAAAAAAAAAAATTATGAAAATTTATTAACTACTGTTTATAGAATAAAATACTAAAATACTATTCCAATAAATATAAATATTATATATTTCTTTAAGTTATAAGACAAAATTTCAGGTATTCTTTCTTAATATTCTGTAAGTTCTCAAAATTGAATCCTTTTAACATGAACTTAAATTGATGAATGCTATCACACATGGCATTTATAATATGATATATATCCTATTATGTAAGCGTAATACACATATGTCTATATATATGCATATATATGTATTTGCTCCTAACAAAGTCTTACCTGTTCTAGGAATAGAAAACCTGCAAAACTTTCCAAGTGAATACCTATGAGGTCTTATTTATTTACAAAGAATCTTGCTATCAGATTACTCAAAACCCAGCCTCTAAACCATATAAAAGACGTTTATTCCATTTCTGTGAAATTTCACATCATAAGCTCAAAATAAGTTATGATTGTTTTTATAACTTACTAGGACACTGTTGTTGACAACTAACATTGCTTTAGCACCTCCTTTCTGTGCAATTCTGGCTTTTTCAAGAAAATGGCAGCTTCCCCATGGCACCACAACTGCTTTGTTCTTTATACCAACAGGAGGAATATCAGAAAGGTTGCATAGTGGTGTGGAGGTCAGATTCATCAAATTAATGGAAGTCTGAAAATAAGAAATGTCTTTTTAACATGATAAAAATCATATTTCATCCTAAATGCATTCAGTTATAAATACTGCATTCAGTTATCAATATTGGTTTAAGACAATATCTTTTAAACTAGAAATATCTAGGCTTAGAATTAAGTATTTAAAATTCTCTATTTTCCTAGAGAGAAAAACACGTGAGAAAAATCAATAAAATTATTATTTATTAACAACCGTATATTATAATGGTTTCATACGATAAAACACAATTATCACTCATTCTCACTTCTTCAATTTTTTTTTTTTTTTTTAATAGAGACAGGGTGTCAGTACATTGCCCAGTTGGTCTTGACCACTTGGTCTCAAACAATCCTCCCATCTTGACCTCCCAAAGTGCTGGGATTACAGGTATTAGTCATTGTACCCAGCCTTCTTCACTATTTTTATGTTTATGAATAGTAACTGTGATTTACTTACTGTATTTTCTAGGGTACTTGGTAGAGCTGTCCAATAAGGGTTATAAAGCATGCAGTAGTCCTTGGATGTGCCATTTCCAGATGCATGCAAGATTGCTTCCTGAGCGGCTGTCTAGAAGACAAACAATAACTTTCAAACCAGCAATGATTTGGCTTTCCAACAACTAAGGATATTAATAAAGCTATTTATATACAGGGTTGATCACATTTCCTTGAGAGGGATAGCCTTCCATGAATTTATTTAATCTTGTTTGAGGAAATAAAAAGGAGGCTTAGGAATATTAAAACTATACATAATTGCCCAGCACACCTTCTTTAAGGAAAATAGGTCACTTTCTTAAGGGAATAACAATTATGACTTGTTATAAGGGTCGTACCCCAGGGAGGAGTCTTGCTATGATGTAACTTCAGTCCTCCCTTGACAGCTGGAAACTTTCCATTCCAGCCTCCTATGAATTACTACTTCATTGTTTGTTTGTTTATTTATTTATTTGAGACTGTGTCTTGCTTTGTCACCCAGACTGTAGTGCAGTGGCACGATCTTGGCTCACTGCAACCTCTACCTCCCAGGTTTAAGCAATTCTCCTGCCTTAGCCTCCTAAGTAGCTGGTACTACAGGTGCATGCCACCACGCCTGGCTAAGTTTTGTATTTTTGGTAGAGACAGGGTTTCACCATGTTGGTCAGTCTAGTTTTGGACTCCAGACTTGCCAAAGTGCTGGGATTACAGGCGTGAGCCACTGCACCCGGCCACTGTTTATATTCTATAAAACGACATGTACTCAAAATCCCTCAATCTGTCTTACCTTCCATATTCTACTAGGAACTAGAGTACAAAGAAAAAAAGTACATTATTATTTCTAAGGGCTATCTTTGGAAGGGAACCAGCTGGAACTTGAAGTAAATTATTCTTGCTCATGTTTTCAACATTCTCCAACTGCCTATTCAAAAAGACCAAACCAGAATTTAAAGTACCGAAAAAGAAAAGCTTTGTCTCATTTCCCACTACCTTACATAGAATTAGATAAGAAAATAAGATGAGAAAAAGAGAAATACAGTTTTCATTCAGCTATATACTTGGTGGCTATAACTGGATTCTGACAGCAGAGCTGAACTAATACGTTACATTCTTACGATATAACAAACTACGTGCTAGGTTACTTTAATACATTTTTCTGATTCAGTGTCCCTGTTTTACAAACAAGGGCTCTGGGACTCAGAAAAGTCACTAACATAACCTACCTAAGGAAGGTCATATAGTAGAATCATTTTCAATTCTAACTATAGAAAGTAATCCTGCAGATAAACAGGAGGGTTTATTTTTGGAAAGAATGTTTCACAAGTGAATTGGGCAATTCTTACTGCATCCAACAAAATAACACATTAACACCATGATTTCCTGCACTAGTGTTGCTGATTTGACGATCTGCTTAAGGTGGTAACTGCAGGATTTCTCCAGTGTAAAGATATGTTTTTCCCTTTTATTTTTGATAAATAACTAATCTATGACACCATGTGAACAGCCCAACAGCTTCTTCTCACCAGGATATTAGCCTCCATGATGATCCTTGCCTAAAAGTAATTTCCCATGTCATACTGAGGATTACAAGATGGTGAATTTTTAAAATATTGTCTTTCCTCCTACCCTTACTGGCTAGTCTCCATTTTTTTTTTTTTCTTGATATGGAGTTTCGCTATTGTTGCCCAGGCTGGTGTGCAATGGCATGATCTCAGTTCACTGCAACCTCTGCCTCCTGGGTTCAAGCGATTCTTCTGTTTTAGCCTGAAGAGTAGCTGGGACTACAGGCGACTGCCACCATGCCCAACTAGTTTTTTTGTATTTTTAGTAGATAGGGGGTTTTGTCATATTGGCCAGGCTGGTCTTGAACTCCTGACAAGTGATCCACCCGCCTCGGCCTCCCAAAGTGCTGGGATTACAGGCATGAGCCACCAAGCCCAGCCGTATGCTTCTTTTTAAAAGAGCTCTATTCTTTCCCCTACCATCTTTTAGTATCAATAGAAATGAATTTATGTTTTAAAAAATTCAGGGTGGTATAATTACAATGATTTGTTTGATATCCAAACTGTCCCAAATTTGGTCATTTAGAGCCTCTTCTAGCTGACCCTTTATACAAGACTCACACCTGTAACACTAGCACTTTGGGAGGCTGAGATGGGTGGATAACCTGAGGTCAGGAGTTCCAGACCAGCCTGGCCGACATGGCGAAACCCCGCCTCTACCAAAAATACAAAAATTAGGCCAGATGAAGTGGCTCATGCCTGTAATCCCAGCACTCTGGGAGGCCATGGCGGGTGGATCACTTGAGGTCAGGAGTTTGAGATCAGCCTGACCAACATGGTGAAACCCCCTTTCTTAAAAACACAAAAATTAGCTGGGTGTGGTGGTGGATGCCTGTAATCCCAGCTACTCAGGAGGCTGAGGCAGGAAAATCACTGGAACCCAGGGAGTGTGCGTTGCAGTGAGCCGAGATCATGCCACTGCACTACAGCCTGGGCGACAGAGTGAGACTCCATCTCAAACAAAACAAAACAAAACAAAACAAAACAAAAAAACCCTTCTTTGGGCACAGTCTTACTCTGAGCAATAAAAAACAAACAAATAAAAAACACACACAAAAAACAAAGACTTCATTCATCTTTGAGGACTTCTTGTTTTTTTTGGCACAAGGTATCCTAGGCTGACTTTGTCCTTTATCTGCTACATATCCAGATCCAGCCATTTTATTAAGCTCCTTGAGGAGAGGAAAGGTACCCAGATCAGGATCTGGGTCCTAACTGTGCATGCTGCTGTTCAAGTAGTATAACCTTTTTAATAAATAATTAGCAGCATCTATCAAAAATTTTAATATATGGGCTGGGCACGGTGGCTCAAGCCTGTAATCCCAGCACTTTGGGAGGCTGAGGCGGGTGGATCACGAGGTCAAGAGATCGAGACCATCCTGGTCAACATGGTGAAACCCCATCTCCACTAAAAATACAAAAAATTAGCTGGGCATGGTGGCGCGTGCCTGTAATCCCAGCTACTCAGGAGGCTGAGGCAGCAGAATTGCCTGAACCCAGGAGGCGGAGGTTGCGGTGAGCCGAGATCGCGCCATTGCACTCCAGCCTGGGTAACAAAAGCGAAACTCCGACTCAAAAAAAAAAAAAAAAAAAAAAAAATTTTAATATATGGAATCCTCTAATTCTTATCTACATATATAGTATGCAAAAGCACGAAAATAAAGGTATAAGTATATTCACTGCAATATTATATGTAATAGCAAAAAAACCCAACCTCCACCAATAAGGTACCTGTTGCATTATGATATGCACAATACACAGCTACTCAAAAGAAAGAGCTAGGTCTATCTCCAGAAACAGAAGATATCTATAAAATAACAAATGAACCAAAAATAAAAGAATAAAATAAAAAATAAAAAAAGAGAGAAAAAAAATAGATGTCCATAGTGAGAAAAGTTTTAGAGTGATATTTATAGTATAATCCTATTTTTATATAATAACCCCTCAAGAAGCCCCTACAATGTAATGTATCTGTACATTTATATGAGCTTGAAGAAAAATGTGGAGAGATACGCAAAGAAGCTATTAAAAGAATATACAGCAAAGTTTGTGAGGGAGCCAGCATGCAGCATGCCCCAACAAGTTAAGCCTTTCCACTACATTTTAAATATCTTCATAGATACTGCATAGCTTCAAAAATTCAGTTTACTATAATAGATATTATGGTACAAAGGTTAGATTAAGAGCATGAGTTTTAAAATGATAATCCAAGGATACAATGCTAGTTTCACCATTTACTGGTTATAAGTGATTTAATCTATCTTAAGTTTCAATATCCTCAGCTTTGAGATAATAATAAACACTCAGACCTCACAGTTATGATAAGGATTAAGTTAGATGATGCAATTGTTAATACGTATTAAGCTCTTAATAAATATATCTAGCACCTTGCCAAGCACTTGTGCAATGTAAAAGAACTACAAAAGATTAATGGTGAGAAGATTAGTGGTTACTTGGGTCCTGGTGGGATGTGGAAATAAGGGGTACAGGTAAAGGGTATGAGTCCCCTTCCTCCCTCCTTCCTTTCTTCGTTCCTTTTTTTTTGGAAAGAGTCTCATGCTGAAGTCCAGGCTGGAGTGCAATGGCATGATCTCGGCTCACTGCAATCTCTACTTCCCGTGTTCAAGGGATTGTCCTGCTTCAACCTCCTGAGTAGCTGGGATTACAGGTGCACACCACCATGCCTGGCTAATTTCTGTATTTTTGGTAGAGATGGGGTTTTGCCATGTTGGCCAAGCTGGTCTTGAACTCCTGACCTCAGGTGATCCACCAGTCTTGGCCTCCCAAAGTGCTGGGATTATAGGTGTGAGCCACCATGCCTGGACTTCTTTCTTTAAGGCTTTTAGAGCAGTTTTAGGCTCACGGCAAAATTAAGCAGAGAATACAGAGTTTCAATATATCCTCTTATCCTACACATGTGTAGCCTCTCCAACTATCAATATCCCAAAGCCAAGTGGTACATTTGTTATAACCGATGAACCTCCATTGACACATCATTATCATCCAAAGCCCACAGTTTCCTTTAAGGTTCATTTGGTGTTGTACATCTTATGGGTTTTGGTAAGTGTACAATGACACATGTCCATCATTACAGCATCGTAATAAACAGTTTCACTCCCCTAAAATTCCTGAGTGTGCCACCTATTGAGTTTCTTTTGCTGATGATGAAAATTTTATAAAATTGGCTGTGGCGATAGTTGATATTGCATGTATCTGTGTATATACTTATTGACCTGTACACTTTAAATGGATAGATTGTTTGGTATGCAAATTATATGTCAATAAAGCTGCTGAAAAAGAACACAAAACAAGAAAGTGGCCGGTCGAGGTGGCTCACGCCTATAATCCCACCACTTTGGGAGGCCGAGGCGGGCGAATCATGAGGTCAGGATTTCAAGACCAGCCTGGCCAGTATGGTGAAACCTTATCTTAAAAAAAAAAAAAATTAGCAAAACAAGAAAGTAAAGTCTTACTGGGGAGGTTAAAAGCAAACCTGAAACAGATAATCATGAACAGGATGTAATTAAAGTCA